AAAAAAAAAAAAAAAAAATCTTGCCGGAGGGAGGAAGACGGGAGGGAGACGGGAGGGAGACGGGAGGGAGGGAGTTAGATGGTGTGGGGAAGAAGATACAAAATAAAATATCATTTGTTGGAGAAAGTTGGTATAAGAAAGTAATAATAAAATATTGTGTAGTGGGATGATGTAACATTATTTGGTTTATTTTTGATTTATTTTAAGAGTAGGGATTTAAGAGGAACAAAATTAAGGGGGTAAGGAGTGCAGAGGCAAAAAAACATGTTAGGGACTGAATAGGAAAATGAAAAAGGGATTAGGGATTTAATGGGAAGTTGCCCAAAAAATAATGGTAAATGTCTCTTTGGCTTTTTTGTACATAAAAAAATGTCCAATACAAACAGTTTCTTTTTTTTTTTTCAAGCCTTAATAATTTTGTATAAACGCATGCGAGAAGTCTCCATAATTTAAGCGAATATTTCGAGAGAACACAATCTCATTTAGTTCGTAAGAGAAGCTGAACACAGTCTCATTTTCTTCGTAAAAAAGAAGCCGAAGGCATCGCAAAAAACTCAGGCGTGAGAAGAAGTTGGTAATTCCGCCTCATCCCTCCCGACATTCATTCCAATTGCGTTGCTGCGTGAACAGCCCCGGACGAAATCAAATGCTCCCGTTACATGCCCGATTAGAGCTTAAATCAACCACAAAGGGAATTCCAGTCAATTGCTGCAACATAAAGATGAAACTAAACAAGAACAAATCCTGGAATAAAAGATAATGGACGGAAGAGTCGAATTAAGCAATGAAGTTTCACATAATATATATTGAAAAAGGATATTATTAGTATATAGGTTAGATTTATTGTACAGTTGCTATTTATCAAATAGCAACTATAGGTCCTTTATGTAAAATAGATTTATTGTACAGTTGTGTGAATAACAACTATAGGATTGCATGTAATTTACATTTTTACCCCTCTGCCCCTTGGTAACCCTAAGTATAAAAGGGTTGCTACCCTCATTGTACTCTCACTTTTCTTTTTCCCGATTTTACATCTAGTGCAATCTTTTCTTTCTCTTCGCCTTCTTTAATCTGTTCGATCTCCATTGTTGTGCAAGCTTTATATTCTAACATGGTATCAGTAGCCGCCGTTTCACCGTACACACTTTCCGCACTCTGATCTATTTTCCGCATCTATTCAGATTCTCCATCTCTGAGAATCGATTCATTTTTTTAGGGTTTTCCACCTCTGAAACCCGATCTATTTTCTGTTATTTCTCTGGATCTTTGATCTATTTTTCGGTGATCTGTTTGATCTTCGATTGCCATTTCACAATTTGTTGATCGTGATTTTTACCTGTCACTTCGTTATTTTTTGTTCGATCTTTTCTCGACTGTTCGATTTTTGACCTGCGATCTCTTGGTCGCGTGCAGTTCTGTTGGCCCTCAGCGTGAAAAACAAAGGTGGTTTCATCGATCGTACAATCCCCAACCCTAATCCTACTGTTAATCCTCCGTTGTACAGTGCATGGCTTAGGGCGAATAATATGGTTTTATCGTGGTTACTGAACTCTGTTTCGAAAGATATCAGACAATCTTTACTCTTCTTTACTAATGCGAGAGATGTTTGGGATGAATTGAGAAATAGATATGCTATGAGTAGTGGTCCTAGGGTTTTTCATTTGGCTAAATCTCTTAGCACTATCAATCAAGGTTCTCTTTCAATTACTCAGTATTACAATTTTTATAAGGACTTATGGGATGAGTATGTTACATATAGACCGATTTTTAGGTGTCAGTGTGAGGCATTTACTACATGTACTTGTAACATTTTTGAGTCCATGGCTGAATCTCAAAATCAGGATTGTGTGATGAAGTTTTTTATTGGCTAGAATGATATTTATGCATCTCTGAGAAGCCATTTCCTCTTGACATCACCTCTGCCCCCACTCACCAAAATATACTCCCTTATCCTTCAAGAAGAATCCCAGAGATCCTTAAACAATACCACTTCCATTGTTGACCCTATGACTATGCTAGCCAAAACAGCACCAAACCACTACAAATCTCAGTCTAAACCTCCTGACAAATTTCAAAACTCTAAAGACAAAAAACCAAGAGCCAAATGCACATTCATTGTGGCTATTCTCACCCATCTGAAAAATGCTACCAAGTCATTGGCTATCCTCCCCATTGGACTGGCCCCAGAGGTCCCAGAATTCATCCTCAACACTCTGCTAACCTTACTCATACTACCACTATACTACAAACAGAATCCCATACCTCTGATGCATCTTCCTTGACTAATGATTTGTTTCATGAGTTCTTAGCCTTAAAAAAGACTCAGGAAGCAAAATCCACCACAGATCATACCATTATCATGTTGTTGCAACTGCTTTTTCAGTCTCCTCAGGTATTTCTAACTCTTATTCTTGCCTGGTTTATGGTCAGTTGCCTAGAAATGCATGGATATTAAATACAGGTGCCACTGACCACATGATATGTGATGCATCTTACTTCTCTCATATGACTCCTGTAAATAATATACATGTTAACTTACCAAATGGTGCTATTACTGATGCATGCTCTAAAGGGACTGTCAAATTGTCATCATCTCTTATCTTATATGATGCTCTATATGTACCATCTTTTAAATTCAACCTCATATCTGTATCTAAATTAGCATCTGCAAACAATTGTGTTGTTCAATTTGTATCATCACATTGCATTTTACAGGAATTGACAACACAGAAAATGATTGGTTCTGCTGATCTAAAAGATGGTCTCTATCACCTTGGCATCCCTGCATTGCCTGCTCATTCAGTCTCATCTGCACATATACAATCTGACTCCAATTTACATGTATCTTCACCTTTACATGTAAATTCTGCAAATATGAATAATGTTCTGTGGCATAACAGGCTTGGCCACCTCTCATTTTCTAAATTGTTGCAATTAACTGTTTCTGATTCTAAATGCAAGACATTACACTCTTTACCTTGTGATGTATGCCACTTTGCAAGACAAAGGAGGCTTCCATTCTCTGTTAGTAAATCTACTGCTACTTCTATATTTGATCTTATACATTGTGATGTTTGGGGACCATTCTCTACTACCTCTCATGAAGGGTATAGATATTTTCTAACTATTGTTGATGATTTTAGTAGAACTACTTGGGTCTGTCCACTGAAGAGTAAGTCATACACAAGAATTTCCTTACAAAATTTTTATAAAATGGTTTCTACACAGTTTGAAAAGAAAATAAAGATCCTCATATCTGATAATGGTACTGAGTTCTTATTGCATGATTTCTATTCTGAAAATGGCATTATTCATCAAACCTCATGTGTAGAAACACCCCAACAAAATGAGAGGGTAGAGAGGAAACATCAACATCTTTTACAAGTAGCTCGAGCTATACTTTTTCATGCACATTTACCATTGTCTTTTTGGATAGACTGTGTTATATCTGCTGCTCACATCATAAATAGAGTTCCATCTATCATTTTGCATAACAAGTCTCCATATGAACTCCTTTACAATAAAATGCCATCTTACAATCATTTAAAAGTGATAGGTTGCCTATGTTATGCATCCACACTTCATGCAAATAGAAAAAAAATTGATCATAGAGCACAAAAATACATACTTCTTGGATATCCTTTTGGTTGTAAAGGTTACAAGCTTTACAATCTACATACCAAAAAAGCATTAATATCCAGAAATGTGCAATTTTATGAAACTGTACTTCCATTTGCAGCTCCTACACCTTCTCTTAATTCTGACCTACTCTTTCCCCAACCAAATAATTTTGATTTCAATGATCCTGATCACAGAAAAACAACTATTCAGATTTCTGTCACTACAAATTTTATTCCCAATCCAACACCTATCAATACTTCTTGTCCACTCAATACTACTAATACTATTCCATCACCCAATCAATCGCCTATTCCACTCAGCACAACATCCCCACCCAGAATAAGATCAACTAGAACTACTAAACCACCTGCTTACCTTGATATATACCAACATTCCATACCTTCTTCTAGTTCCAATCCTGTAGCTAATTCTATATGCACTTCTGGGACATCCATGTATCCTATATCTTCTTTTCTGTCCACTGCATCTTTTTCTGCTAAACACTCATGTTTCACTACATCCATCTCTCTATTGCATGAACCCAGAACATATGCTAAAGCTGCTAAAGATCCTCAATGGCAACTGGCCATGAGAAAAGAACTTGATGCACTTGAGCATACTAACACTTGGGTTTAACAGACCTTCCAAAAGGGAAACATTGCATAGGTTGTAAATGGGTGTTTTAAGATCAAATATAAATCTGATGGTAGTCTAGAAAGATACAAAGCTAGACTTGTAGCCAAAGGCTACACACAAGAAGAGGGAATATACTATTTTGAAACCTTTTTCCCAGTTGCTAAAATCACTACAATCAGATATATGATTGCAC